AACACTGGCGGTCCTTCCTCGTCGACGCATAGAAAGCCCCTCATGCTTTTCTGCCTTTTCCTTTTCCAGCCGTGTAATATTCCGTTGAATGGATGTACCGTAGTTTATTTAACCAGCCCTGTTGCTGGACGCTGCAGTCACTTCTGATACGATCGCTGGGAGTAACATCCGACCCCTGAGTTAGAAATGTGAAGATCCAAGTGCCTTTTTTGTATCTAAGTGACATGGCCAGGAGACAGTTGAAAAGTGTGCGCCTGGGACAGTGTAGGATATTGTGCTTTGGGAAGTAACGGTGGAGAGTTATGAAGTAGAATCTCTGGAACTTGCTATAATTAGCTCGTGTGAAGCATATCCTACGACAACCTAAACGGTCTGAGGTCCACCTGGAAGGAACAGGAGCAAGGAAAGGATCGGGGGCCGTCAGCGGGGCCGTCAGCGCGGCCGGAGAGTGCGTGTCCTCGACCCATCCGCCTCCTTGCTTCCCGTCTCTGACGTCTCAGGGTACAGAATGAAGGTGAAGTTCTTGGGGGAAACTGGCCCGATCTTTATTCCAAATTGTAATTTACCCTGTTTCGTGAACATTCTTCCTTTCAAGCCCACATTTGCCTGTTTCTCCTCTCCCTTCTTCTCTGATCCCCAACACCCTCAAGCTCACGGTGGAGGTTGGACTCTCCAGGTGTCTCTCCATAGGCCAGAGACACCCCATGTCCCCCACCCCCGCAGATGTCCAGGTGTGATGTTGGTAAGAGCCTCAGGAATGTAGGATTTGATTTTGACTTGGTATGTCTAACGTGGCTTGTGCTGCAGTATGCATTTATAGCCGTGGAGATGTTAAAATGATGTGTTATGTGTTAAAAACTTTGGGAGGCAACAAATAGTATAATATGGCATGTTATATTTTACATAAGTACAGAAGCAGCTTTTCCATTTTGAAGACTAATTGAGATTCCTGAAATAGTTCTCTTTGGAGTTTAGCATATTTAGTTGGATATCAATGAATAGAATCAAACATCTCTTCAGCGGGATGTCCGGATGCTACAGATTTACGTGGGAGCTGTCGGTCACATATCTGGCCTTGTCATCAAAGATCAAACACTCTGGGGACCCGGAGAGGGTGATGAGGTGATCCACGGAGGCTGATGCCATGCACCTGTTCACGCTCTCACTGTCGGCACACAGCACCATCATTTGATCATTCTGTCCGCCCTCTGTGCAGAGGGATATTTTGACTTGAGTTAGAAATTTCAATGGCAGAAATTCAAACTGAAAGTAAATCTGACATTTTGTTCTTTCCGTACGTACACAGGCTCCGCTTGAGCTTTCTGAAAACCATGGCAACCATGTGGCTTTTTGATACTAAATGCCATTTCTCTCCGCCCCACCTAAAAAGCTCTACTCCAGTTATGAAGACTTCATGGTCACACGAGTGGGTGACAGACCTTGAAGTATAGATTCTGCTTTTGAGTAAACACATTATGTTCGAGATTTTCATCTACGGCGTTAACCAAATAGGAATATGATCTTATTGGAGGTGAGCTCTCGGTAATAGAGCGACACAGAAGGTTGCTCCCAAAGCAAACCCACGCGAAAGGCCGTTGGGCTTTGCCGAATGCCGCAGTCTCATTCCTTTGCCCACCCGGCCTGTGCCGATGGGAATCTGGCCCCACTTTTCTGCTGGCTGTGGCTGGCAGCAGCCAGTCCAGCCTCATTCACAGACAGGACTCCAGGGCCTGGCGAGGCACCCGCCAAGCTGGAGCAGACCGCCTGCTCCATGCCGTTCCGCATCCCCTCCTCCCCTCTCTCCTTATTTAACGACCCCGGCCACATCCCATTCACATTATGATGACATGTGACACTTCCCTTGCTTTATAAATGCAGTCTAGTCCAGAAAGAAGCCTTCAACTGCCTGCACTCTAGCTGTAAAAAATATTAACTTCTATAATGTTGGTAGAAAAATAAATTTCTGAAGTACGTTAAAGATATGTTCTCGCTTAAAGAAAGAGGAAGTTCCCACTTTGCTGGACTGTGTAGAAGCAGGTGCAGGACGAGGGCCACGTCTCTGGTCACCGCCCTCCCTTCCATGCCACGAACTTCCCTGGGCAGTGTTGATCAGGGCCCCTCAAAGCCATTGTGATGCAGACTCCCACTTTTACTGCCCACCTGTGCTGAGTACACATCGAATTGATTGTAAGGTGCTGCAAAGTCACCGTCACCCTACCGTTGGACCCAACTGAATGGCTCACCCTCAAAAGATACGTTGTTTTACCTGTTAGTCTCTTCCTCCTGCGTTTTCAAGTTTAATGCCCTTAGCTTTCACCCATGAACCATGCTGTTCCAGATCCTGTAACTTCCATGCTTTATGTGAGGTCCAGACAAGGGTCAAGACCAGACACCGGTGATTAGTGTGGTCTTTTGTTATTGCCACCCGATGTCTCATAGTGTGTAACAGTGTTTCCAGGAGAAGCTTCACAAGGACAAACAGCATGGCTTGTCTTGCTTGCTTGCAAAGCTGTATCGCGCCCAGGCAAGTTCTTGGCAGATGTTTTGGATGAGGCCAAGTGCTCAATCTGAGAAAGGAGGAACATAGGAAGATGAAAGCAAAGTACCGAAAATAACAGGTCGCTTTCGGGCGAGCTTCTCTCCAGCCCTTCCTATACACGTTGCAAGATACAGTGCAAAAATACAGTCTCATTTTCAAGGAGATGCATCTTATAACAGATCTGCTTACTGCAGAAGGTCAAAACACTTCAGCCCTATAGTTAAATTTCCAGCCCTTACTTTGTTTATCTTGGGTGCATGTTGACTTCAAACTTACATGTTCTTTTGTGTCCCCCCGCCCCCAAACACTGAATTATTTAGCTGTTTAACCGATTTAGCATTCAGATGAGCTCTATATAGCAAATAAGTGATTCATGGGATCAGAGGATCTTAGGGGAGATTATCCATTCCCTCATTGACCCATTTATTCAGCAACTATTTCCCGGTGCCTAATGTATAAAGTAAATGCCGTAAACAGAAGGGACACAGTTCTATGAGATGTTCGTGAAAGGAATTCACGCTGGAGTGGATAGGAGGGGTCTTGATGAGGGAGTGAAACTTGAGCTGGCGGTTAAAGCAGCAGTTAACAGGCCGACAGCAAAGGAAGACAGTTCTCATGAGCCAGAACAGCATTAAACAGGCCCAGTGGTCTCTGTGAATATGGCACGTTCAAGGCCCTGGAAGACCGCTCATGTGGCTGAAACATGGGGAGGGAAGCATCCAGTAAAGATGGGGCTCGGGGAGGAGACAGGGCCCTGGCATTCAGGGTAGAGACACAAAAGGGAAGCCAGGAGGGACCAGTCAGGAGCTTACACAGTGATCGAAGGAAGAGGCGATGATCGCTTGAACAGGTGCATGGCATGAAAGCAGCGAGAGGATCCGTGCTGAAGCCAGAGACGGCAAGACTTGCAGATGACTGGTTGTGGGTGGGAGAGGAAAAAGCGTTGAAGTTGGCCCTGGGAACTTTGGCCTAAACTAAAGGACAAGTGGCGGTGCCAGTTACTTAGGGGCAAAATACTGAGAGAAGAGCCACTTTGGGGGTGGGAGAGGCGAAGTCCCCTCTGTGGAACGCGAGTACGCGATGCTGTCGGGTCTCCACGAGGAGGTGTGGGAGGGGACGCCCGACATGCTCATCCGCGGCTTGGGGCAGAGGTCAGAGTTGCAGAGGGAGGTTTGAGGGTCCCCAGCTCGTGGATGGCGTTGGAGGCCCTGGAACCGAATGAGAGCACCTGGATGGATGTGCAGATTGCGAAGACGAAGGCACTGAGGGCTGAGCCCGGATCACGCCCACGCTTTGGTGCTGGGGACGCGGAGAAGTGTCAGGAACAGGAGACTCAAAAGGAGCAGCCCGGGGTGTGGGACGGGAGCCGGCGGAGTGTATGGGTCCCGTGAAGAAAGCATTCATGAGGGGAGGAGTATCAGGAGCTGCTGGGAGCTCGGGGAAGGGGAAGCCTGACAGGTGGCCCTGGGACTGGGCGTAGAGACTGGTGACAGTGACGAGTGCAGTTTCGATAGAATGGGAGAAGGTGAGAAAGCCTCGTTAGGGTGAATTTAAGAACAGATAGGAATTGAGAAATTGAAAACAGTAATTATAGGCAGCTTTTCAGAAGAGTTTTGCTATAACTCAGAGAAGAGAAATGGGGCTTGAATAGATTCTCACGTTGGTGTCGTTTATTAAAAAGACAGACCTAGGAGATGAGGCTTCTATAGGGGGAGACAGCGTAGCCTAAAGGTGCTGCCTAAATCCCAGAATGCGTGGCAACGGGAAACCTGGAAGCCATGACCTTGATACTCTCATATGTGCACATTGGATCATGCTGTGCCCGTAGGTTACGGTCGTCAGAAGTAATCCTTGTGCCTGCATCTAGGTGGCAGATACCTGTAATTTGACTATTTATAGCAACGGAGTATGAATCTTTCTTGGCTCTTGAATCGAGGCACTGAGATTTGAAGCGGAGTCATGAGTGGAAGAATAAAACCACCGAGGCCATGTGCTTTCGGATGAATCGGAGCAAGTGAAGAAACATCCCTGAACACCACGGGGGTCCACTCCAGTGAAGGGGCAGTCGTGTGCAAGTGCCTGTCACTGCTTCGGGGACCTGCGTGCCAGGAAGCTGACTCAGTGCAGAGTCACCGTGACAAGCTCCAGGAGCTGCCTCTGTGACCGGAGCTGAACATCCTGAGCATAAATGAAAAGCGATTGAAGTAGAGTCGTTTTAAGAAGGCTTATTTTTAGAGGTCTTACCCCTCGTCATATCAGACATATTAAATAGACCCACATGCCACACTAGAAAGATTTTGCTGAAGAAAACAGTCAAGAGCAATTTTTACGTTTTGCTTTTTAAAAGATTGGCCCATGAATACATCAGTTCATTCCAAACGGCTGTGATTTCTCTACATTTCCGTAGATTTAGGAATTTGTGAAGTTATAAAAGGTAGCCTATCACTTTTTAACACAGTAGAAAATTGCACGAATATCGGATGATTCATGAAATTGTCAGTGTCGCATTTTGTGGACATGTAATTTTTTAGTTTGCGTTCTGCATTTTTGATCCCAGAACACCGTTTCAGGGCTCAGTGTTCCCCAAAGACCCTGAAAGGCTTGTGGGCCCTGTGCCCCTCGCGCCTCACGATAAAGCAGTCTCGATGAGAGAATGAAGTGTTCAGTCAGGAGCAAGGATGTGTCCCCCAAATAGCCATTGGCCTAACATTCTAGAAGCCGGGAGAGTGTGGGGCAGAGAGTCGGGGAGGTTCTTCTGATTCAGGCCTCCGTCGAACCTGGCCCTTCAGAGGGTGGGCTGTGGATCGACTGCACGAGCGCCCCCGAATCTTGTTAGAGACGCGGGATCTCAGCCTGTCGAATCACCACCTGCCCTTAGCGCGAGCAGCTGGCACCCACTGACGGCTGGGAAGCACCGCTCTGTCTAGTGCGGGAGGCCGTGGACCCATTTGTGTGGCGGGCACCCAGCCGGTGAACAACAGACGGGTAATCCTTGCCGTGGGATGGCCTGTCTGACTTGGAGGACTGAGTTCGTTGGCTCCTAGTCAGGACCAGTAGTCAGAATCCCAGATTCGTCATGTTTCACTATCATTAGGGGGTCGGTTCCAAACGACAGCCCCAGCTGGAATTGTGGGCCAGAAGATGTTTTTTTTTTTATGTGAAACTCAGGTATAGTGGGACTGTGTGCCCTCCTCTGCTGAATGTCAGTGCGGGAAGTTGTGCTTGTAACCACACAGGGAGGACACAAAATTTTCTTCTTTAAACTTAGGGGTCCAGTGACTTTCTACTAGATCCTGGGCTGACAGCGTTCCGTTTCTCGGTGATTCGGCCTTAGTTTCGTTGAGTAAGATTTGAATAAACTCCTGTGGAACCTTTAATGATTTCTTCATTATCATCAATGGTTTTTGCCTGTGTCGATGGAAAATTGCCACTTTATACTGTTATTTGCAGGGACTGACTTCTTTGACGTGAAATTCACATCTCCATTTTGAAAGCTAAAAACACCACAGGGCTTGTCAATCTCATAGACTTTACTTTCATAGGGAGAGTCCTCGAAAGTCGCAAGTGACATAAAAAATCTACCTGCAAGTACCTGGTCCCGGCAGAACAGCTGCCCACGAAATGGTGGTTTTCTCCTCTTTCCTTTTCCCTGTCTCGGGTTGGACATTCGCCCATACGACCCCTCAGCCTCGTGAGAGTGCCCTCGCTCCCACGAGTCTGCAATTGTTAGTTTTCCAGCAGATAACAAAAACGAACACTTATGTCCTTCAAAGGCTATGAATATTTTTCCGATTAGTAAATATTCTTCTCACCTGTATTTTGCCGGCAGGATAACCAAGGTCTGAAGTCGGTGGGGTGTCTGTTGGGTCGCGTGCATCTCAGAAAAGGCCAGAGAGGTTTTAACTACCACCCATTTATACATGGGTTCTTAGTTTATAGTGGGTTGGGGAGTGGCCTGTTGTTTCCATATAATGCTGTATCTAACATTAAATGAACTAATTGGAAATGCATACAATTTGCATATATATTCTCATAGCTATGAAAAGGAGCAGATTTTGAACAGATTACATAACTCTAGAGTTAATCAGGGATCCTTTCCACCCTTTTAATCTCACTAGCGGGATCCATACGGCTGCATCTGTCCCCCGTTAGGTTCTCCCGAACTCCTCCCGCCCTGACGTGCCCCGTTCTCCGAATCGCTGTCCGCATCCTGCCGCTTAGTGCCGCTTGGAGACAGTTTCACAGTCTGTGATTGTTTCTTTAGTGGACGTCTTGTCACCTTAGAGAGGAATTCTGCCTTCCACAGATCCTCACGACCCCTAACACCGTAAACGGGAGAGAGCAGGAGACATCTATGAATAGTCTGCCGTTTTATCCTAGCCATTTCATTCCGGGCTCCATTTTTTAAAAGTGTGGCTTTCTTGCACGTTACTAAATATGGGATATTTTATTTGTATTAAATCATTTGCTTTGCTCGGAAATTAATAAAAACGTTATAAACCGTCAAGAGATTAGTATGTTTCCACATGAGTCACGTGAACTCATGGATCTTTCTGTTTCACTACGAAGAACTTGACCTCAGTGATAGATTTAGATTTCTTTTTTGCCTGGCATTTCTTTTCTTTTTTATTTCAAATATGAATTATCTGATATTATTCCACATGCTTACTGAAGGTTTCATTTTATCTTCATTGCTTTTTATTATGTAATGAATGATTGTCATTAATGTGAAGTTTCTAATTTAATATGTAATTTTTTTTTTTATCTCTAGTGTTATTATTACAACAGTTCTATACCTGTCTGATGCACTTCGTAAGAACTTCTTAAATGAAAACTTTGATTATAAGGTAGGTATCCGTTTAGATGACCATCTTGGGCTAAAAGGTTTCACATTGTACTCAGGAAATTACTGCCTGTCTTTTCTTTTTCATAATAATAGAAAAATAAATTTATTCCAGCTACCTCAAATTAATATTGGGCCATATTCATTTTAATTATGAATAATACTAGAAGGGTTTTCATTGTATTTATGAACAAGTTAGGGCTATAATTATGTTTCTCAGCCTGGTAGAAATCACAGTACTTAAGAGGAGATAGTTCTTTATTATAACTATAAATTTTAATTCTTGTTCTTTTCTGGGTGAGCCCCATGCATGACAAAGGGGAGTTAGAACATAATGTTTTTAAGACATATTTTAAAATAGAGAACATAGGAAGGAAACATTTTCAAAGTAAACCCCTTACTTCCTTTTACTTTTCCATCTTTCCATTTTTTAGAATAAATTAATGAAAAGAAAAAACATGAAAGAATGATAAGGTTCTTTGAGGCAGAACTTCTGCGCATCTGTAATGTGATGTGCTATGCCTGGATCTCTAAGAGTTCCGGATATTTTAAAGGGAAGATAGTAAAGAGATAGGCAGGGCCTGCGTTGACTCTCATTCTTAATGATGTCTGTGCTTTTGGCATCTTGTTTCTTATTCTTTTCTTTTTCTAATTTTTATTTTTTAATCTTTTTTAAATGACATTTCCCACGTGAACCATTTAATAAAATTTTCTTATTGGATAACTAGAAAATGCAGGAAAAATCATATATACAATAAAAACCGATGGGATTTTCATGGTTGTGTAGTATTTCCTTATATCGCACCTTATAATAATATCAAAATTTCATAATCGGAGCTCTGCTTTTGAATATGTAGGTTGTTTCTACTATTTAGTTCTTATAAATTATTCTTACGTACTGTCTTACAAAGTAAAACTTACATATATCCCTAATTATTTCTTCGGATAAATACTTATAAGCACAATTGTTGAGTTAAAGGTTGTGCCAATCATATTTAATCGCCTGTATCTACTCTAACACTGAAAGAACCAAATTTTTTTGACAGGTTGATAAGGGGGAAAGTCTTTTTTGCCTAAATTCTCATTTCTTACTAATTGTTGATTAGCTCCTAGTTATTAGTTACTGACCATATTTTATGAATTGTCTGTTCTGGACCTTTGTTCATTATTTTGCTGGGGTTTTATCGTTTTTCTTTTTATTTATAAGAGCTCTTCATGTGTTAATGAACGATATATTTCTTTTTATTTATAAGAGCTCTTCATGTGTTAATGAACGATAATATTATTTATAAGAGCTCTTCATGTGTTAATGAACGAAATATTTATAATATTTCTCCTATTTTAAATTTTTCATGGTGTCAGTAGAGAAGTAGTTTCCTTTTGATTGTGTCTTATGTGGTTTTGGTTAAGTTTATCGCCAGGAATTTATTCCAATCTTTTTGTGATGGTATTTTTAAGATAAGAAAACTTTGACTCAAGGCATTTGTCTGGGTAGAGAATTTTTATATACTGTCTGAATTTAAAGCAATTAGCATATCCAAAGAAGTGTATGCATTTTTTCTTCCGAGTTCTGCATTAAAAGGAGTTCCAAAAATGAATTCACAGAGGAATAATCCATCTTATGCCTGTGCCTTTTTGGAGACACACAGACAGGTTATAAGAGAAACAAAATGTTCACCATTTAGCATGTACCAGAGAGCTTACGAAACCCAGGATAGAGCATTGAAGCAATATATGAAAAGAGGATTTATTTAGTTTACTTCTTTGTTGTAGAAAATTTAAAGCATATATAAAAGTAGAGAGAGTAGTGTGTAAGGAACCCCCGTGTACCCCGATCCAGCCTCCACTATTATCGATTCGGGGTCAGTCTTCCCTCACCTTTACCCCCATTTACTTGTCACCTTTGAAGCGAATCCAAGATATCATGTCACTCCGCTTAAATATTTCTGTAACATCATAGTATCTAAATATTTTGTTCTTGTTTTAGATCTGGGATTCCTACTTTTACCTTGCAGTCATTTTTATAAACCAGTTGTGTCTGCAATTGGAGATGTTCACGCCTTCCAAAAAGAAAAAGGTGTTAGAAAAGTAAGTACCTGTGTATAATCAGGTGGGAGCTTGAGGTGTATCAAACGTTGTGCCTTTTAAAGGGCATTTATTTCCAATGATTCATAAATCGGGTGTTCATAACTGGAAGTTGCAATGCAGAGGTAATGACCAAGAGAACAAGAAGCGATCTTTTCTGGAAATTTCAATATTTTGAACTTATTGAAACTTTTATTTTTCTTTTTTGGCCCTCAGTCTTTCAAAATTGCTACAGAAGTGAAAATTATGAGACAAATCTGTTTTGCTGAAGGATTTATATGAAAATATGAATTAGAAGCATCTAGACGTGTACATTAAACACTTTTAATTAAAAACATATTGCCATTTAACCCAGAATGATAGAGTGTATGCCAAAGAGACACAAATACGTCTTTCCCCTGGAGGCTTTGTGTCAGGTTTGGTTTTTGTTCTGTTTCAGGTATGGTGACATGCGCGTCACGATGGGGTGTGAGATTTTCAGCATGTGGCAAAACCTAGGTGAGTGATGAAAACAGAAGCCGCCTCCATTACATCCAGTCCATCGCTGGACTTTTACATGGGCAGATGAAGAAGAACAGTTTACCAAAGACAGCATTTGAAACCAAATGTCTAAATTAATAAAGATATCTGTAGAAAGTAATTGACACTTGGGCATCGGATAGATTTACAACTAATTCTTTAAATTGACGTCTTTCTGAACAATCACCTTATCTTTGTGTGTTTCACTATTGTTGAGTGACAGATTTTATAAGCTAGTAGTGCTCCAATAGTACCCTTTTTGCAACGAGCTAACCTTTCAGAATTTGGGATTGTAACAACTCACAATCTCTAGAACTCTGAGTTGAGGCTGTGAGTCATAACAAATTTGGATTAAACTTCATGAAATGTTGACTTGAGCATCAGTACTCTTAAAAAACTTGAAACCGTTGATCCATATCGTAAAGAGTAGAGACAAAAGGTTTCAAAGCGTCTGCAGTTGCCAAGAAACTATTAGATTCGATTTTGTTGGATCAGCCACAGTGGGTAGAGCACGTTATTCCAGCAAGGTGATGGCACAGACCTGGTTACGTAGAAAAGAATAGTATTTGGAAAATAAACTGTTTTAAAATTTCATTGACATAGGGTTTGTATTACTTACTGATTTCGTTTGGTATGTTACTTATTTAATTTGGTGTGTTAACTATGCAGGTTTGTAGTATTCATTTACTTCTACATGGTAATTCCTTCTCGTGATGTATTAAACTAACGAACATATTAGAATTGAATCTGTGATGATCTAAGAGCATTTTTTCTCGGGCTCATCCAAGCACAACTTGAAGATGGCAGGATATATTTTCTGTAAATGAAAATAGAACCAATATCATTTTACTTAAATTCATGATATGGAGTGATTTTTGACCGGGATATGTATAGTTCTCAAAGGAAGCCTTGTTATAGATCATTGAACTCAGTGTTCAATGCTTGCTGGTAATTTCAGGAAAAAAAAAAAAAAAGTGAGTTAGCATTTCGAATGCACCTCCAGCTGTCTAAGATGATGTGTCTTTAGATCCCGCTCAAAAATAGCATCAGTTTGTCTGATTTGAAGAGCGCTCCTCTCCACGTTCACGTTTTCACTGATTCTTCGGGTCCTTGTTTTTCAAAAGTAGATCGAGGCCCTTGCATTTGGCATTTGTCTAATGAACTGTTTTCCCAAGAATGCTGCATTGAAATGCTGTCGTGGGGGGTTTAGGCTCTTGTCCAAGCTCAGACGAGAGCAGGACAGAGCCTCTCAGGTTTCCAAAATGTTGGAGACGTGGCAGCTTCCTCTTCTGGGCAAGTAGCGTCGCCATGTATGGTCGTGTCCACGTACACCTTTGTCCCAGCCAGGACAGCACGCGCTTCGGGCCATGACCCCAGGCTTGCTGGATGAGGCTGGCACTGTTAGTCCCCCTGAAGAAGTCGTGGTCATAAACTCTTCTCTGCTTTGTTTTTCAAACAAAAAATATTTCTAACCCTCTGGGTTTTAGGTTAGATGACTTCTCTGTTTTCCTCTGAGTTCTAGACTGTGAACAGTCCATGGTGCACACTGCTCCTGTCATGCATTATTTTGTCACTGCTCTAGAACCGGGGCACTCAGCAGACCAGCAGCGGGCGTCACCCGGAAGCTGGTGACAGCGCACGTTCTCTGCTTGCACCCACCCAGGCCTCCCAGAACTGTCTGAGAGCGGGGCGCAGCATCGCGGATTTCACAAGCTCTCCAGATGGTCCTAAAGCACTTGGCTGCAGGTGGAAAAGCCCCGCTTTAGACGACACGATCCCTTTCCTTTGCTTTGCCAGCCCAAAAACACGAGCTGCTGCACAGTCCGAGCCCTCTGTTGGGAAAGGCTCATTGTCATCACTCAGCTGCGAATTCCCCACGTGACAGTGACTGTCAATTTTCACTTCATTCCGTGGTCTCCGCATTATTTCCCCAGAGTCGTGTCCTGACTTTTCTGAGGCTTCCAAAACATCAGGTGGATTTTAAAGGTCGTTGCTATCATACAACCGGAACTGGAAAATGTTCGGAAATATTAAAGCCTCTTTTCCAACATATATTTTTATAAAGTGATAAAAAAATGGAGCACTCGGGGTTCTGTTCAAACGCCTCTTATAGATCTTAAGTCAGCTTGTTACCTCGCAATATCAAAAGCCATTGCTTATGATTTGGTTTTCCTGTAAATATATCATACTGAGTATTTTGAATACAAAAGGAGACTTTTTTAGATAATTATGGATTTTTATTTTGTAATGAAACAGGTTAATAAAGTCAATTTAGCACAGTTCATGAAGCACTGGGTATGCTCAGGTGCATTTGGGAGATGCAAGAAGAAAGACTCATGCCTGTTACAAGCTTAGTTATTAAATACTGTATTCTAAACCTTTCCTTCAATTTCTGTGGAACAGGGAAAAGCTTGATATAGACCAATTCACCATGTTTTACTAAAGCAAGTAACCTTTAAGATTTCATAAATCAAGATCCTCAATAGTTTTTAGGAGAAACAAAATACACTAGCTTTTAGAAAATCAACTGAGGAGTCAGTAAATCCACTTTTTTTTCCAGTCGATCTATTTGGAAACACAAATTTTACTAGAAAAAAATTTTTTAAGTTGGATTTTGGTCCTTGGTATTCACCTCAGAAGGGTGGAGATTCTTCCACACGCTAGAAATAAGTCGGTTTTTGTGTTCTGCTGAGGAAGATGGAAAAAGGGCACACGTAATTTGGAGATTAGTCTACTTTTAAACATAAAGCGGTAGGATTTCCAAATCTGATGATTGCATCTCTTAGATTTACCTGTCAGCAGTGGATCATATGGTAGTTCCTTTTTTAAGTTTCGAGGCTCCTGCAGATTGTTTTCCACAGCGTGTGCCCCACCATCTCTGCTTCCTACCAGCGAGACCCAGGGATTCCAATGTCTTCACATCCTCACCAATATTCTTATTATTGTCTGTTTTTGTTTTTTGTTTTTCGTTTTTTGTTTTTATAGTAGGCCATGCTCATGTGGTAAGGTGGTATCTCGTGGATTTTATGAAATAATTTATTTTCGAAGAATTAAAACCAAGTAGTGACAAGTAAACATCTTTTTTTTATATATATATGTTCTTCCTGAGTATTTTCATTTTCTAAGTTGAAGGACTGAAAATGTTCTCTCAAGAGAGGAGAGAAGGCATGAGTTTCCCCCCAAAATTTATATGTTTGTGCCCACACTTGCAAGAATCGTCTGCAAATAAAGAAGTTAGTCTTCCTTACTATGGCCCTCGTTTGGCTTTCATTGTTCTGCAAGGTTAACTTTCTTTCTTTCTATTTTTAGTTGAACAAACATTCTTCCTAAATATAAAGTGGGCTTTTCCACATTTGCAAACACAGCATCTTGTAACTGCTGTAGAAAAATCAATACTTTCCTAACAGGCTGCTCTGTGTGCATAAATATAAAACTCCAGCAGCCGAAGTAGCAGGCGCCCTAAAGACTTCAAAACAAGACCATGTGGCTGACAATCAGAGATGGAGATAGGATACTACATCTGCGGTTTCAAAAGAAATTATTTAAATGAAGCTTACTTTGCTGCCGCCATACATATTTTGGGTAGGAATTGGACGTTCTGTGGCAGAGAGTTTGGACAGGTTTGCACAGACTCTGTGTTCCCAAAGTGTGTTTTCGGCAAATACGGCGATGCTCAGGCCTTGCCGCGCAGTGATTGAAATGTGGGCGTGGCTTCCTACTGTCAAAGAAAATTAGGCTCCAAAATATAGCACATGGACTTGGATTGTGATCGAAAGAAATCAACTAGAAATGGCACGTTTTTGTTTTAAGGCACTCAGGGAATTTTTAGCATAAGCTGGGTTTTAGATAAAGGGATTTTTGTTTGCCTTTGTTAAATGTGACGAAGGCATTGTGACCCTATATTTATGAAACGTCCTGCCGGTTAAAGATGCTCACTGGTGCGTGTACAGGTGGAATGATGTGATGTCTCAGACTTGGCTTAAAATACCTTGGGAGGGGGTGGTGATAGGTGAAACAGGATTGGCAAAAAAATGTTGAAATTATTAAAGCTAGATGATGGGTACGTGGAGCTTTGTTTTACTAGTTTTTGTCATTTTGTGTACATTTGAAATTTTTCCTATTAAAAAGAAAATCAGGTTGTAAAATGTCTATAAGCGAAAGTGATTTTTGAAAAAGAGGTTCGATAACACTCAAGCAAATGTGGTAGACATGTGCTGACGATGTTCGCTGGCGAGGCCCAAGGTGCCAGGCTCGGGGAGAGGTTAAAGACGGAGATCTCCGTGTAGCGACCTGGCTCTCATTCTGCCGACACAGGCATGGCAGAGCCATCGGGCTGGCGGGAAATTCCATTTTACTTTGTATTTCCCACCTCCCCTCTTTCTCCTTCCCCCGACACACCCAAAAGCCGTGCGGATGTGCAGTGTCTCACATAGCGCCGAGGCAGCAGGGTTGGTAGTCACGTGCCAAGACGTCCTTTGTCCATCGTACATGGCTCCCGCAGTCTGTGACTGCTGTACCACCCCACGTGGCGCCCTGTAGCCCTCTCCTGGGGCGGGGTCACGGGACAGGCGTCAGGCCATCTAACCTCAGGACACGCCAGCCTTCATCTCCAAGGACTCTCCCGCCCCCCTCTCCTCTCTCCTCCCCTCACTTTTCAGGATATCTTGAAAAAGGATTGAGTGGGTTTAGGCTTTTACAAATGACAGTAAGAATGATTGAGTTCAGATTTGCTTCTTCCTGCCCTGACAAAAATAACGAGGAAAGGAATTGCAAATGCTCGCTGCTGGTTGCCTGCTTAAAATATGTAGAGAGGATGGAGGACATACAGGGAGAGGGACCGATGTTTCTATATATTCTGCCTCAGTGAGTTCGTTGGTCTTGGAAATATTCATTCTTTTGGGAGGAAGACTGACAAAAGGTCTATTGATGAGGAAGTTTCTTTTGATGAATAAGAAGGAGGTATTCTTGTGATGAGCAAAACTAAGTAGTCCCCTGGTAAAAATAAAAGATTACTTGAGCCAAAAATAAAGATAGAAAGCAAAAGGAATTACGAGCCATTTCCTCACACATAATGGCTATGGATTAGTAATTTAGAGAAATGAGAAGCAGTCACCTTTGATGAAAACGCAAGACAGGAAAGGAGTCTGTGCCTTCAGAGATGTGGAAGGACTGTCGCAGGCAGGGACTGGCTCACTGTCACCTGCTAATGTCCCCACAGCGGAGAGAAAAAGGGTGGGGACCACATTCTAAAGATGGTGGAAATATCCCAAGGCATTTCCAGGCGCAAAAACAAAAACAGAAAAACAAAAAACAAAAACAAAAACGGTGACATGCCAAACCCCCACTCGGGTTTGCCATCTCTGATCTCACCCATCATTTTTCCCTCTTTCCAAATTCTTTCATATTCTCTTTCCTCTAAAAACGCCTTTAAAGTCAATATAAATTTAAACTCTATATTTGCACTTGCCCAAGCTCTATGGCTACCATAATGCCTTCTAGTGCAAAAAAATAATAATAAAAACAAAGCGAATTAATGGGATGGTATTACCTGCCAACTCTAAAATTGGCAGGTAACTCTGAACAGTGTGATTTCGTGTGTGTTTGACTGTTATTGCAGAAGATCAAAGGCAGAAAAGAAAAACGAAGGGGAATTATCCTTTTTCACGAAGCCAGCTGTCTTCTGCTCAGCTTTCCAATTCGTTCTGTGGGTTGTAAACAGGTGCTTTCAGTATCACCTGCTTTCATCCCTGATCCCAAAGGTTAGCTCTCGAGAAATCGTGCATGTTCCATAGCACACCCTTTTCTTATTATAAAAATAGAAACTATGAGATTTAATGCAGGTGATTAGGGTAGTGGACAGAACTCAACATTCTTCTGCTAGAGGAAATCACCTGTGTCCACCCTACCTTCCTTTCCTCTGAATTATCAATGCCTTTGAGCACTTGCTAAGACACCATTTTGAGTTCACTGTTGTTACATTGAAGTTTTTTTTTTCCAGAAAATTGTTATATTTTTCTGGGGGACTGCCATTTAGATTTTGTTTTTGGCTGTGTGTTTACTATGTAAAATAAACCACAAGAAAAATTATGCAGCACAGATAGGAGACACATTTTTTGTATGTAAAAATCACCTGAAATCTTACCACCCAGAGATAGCCTTTGTAGTTAACCTTAGGGGTTATAATCTTGTAGATTGTCAGTTTTTTTAAAATGAAAGACATACCTGTACGTACAGTAGTGTATCTTGTTTTTTTTCAGTTAATTATATTGAAGAACATCACCATCTTCAACTTCATTTTTAATGACTGCATACAAATTTTAATGCGTGACTGTGTAATAGGATACGTAGCCAAGTCCTGATGATCTATATAATTTTTAATTATATCTTATGGCTTTTTACATGTGGAACAAGTAAATTCCTAGTTTTTTTTTTAAATCAAAATGAAGAAATATTAATCAACACCTTGAAATTTACTGTGTCCGTATCTGCTTAGGGAGCTATTTTCTTGCTGGGGAGACCGCTATACTTGAGTACGTACTCATGACAATAGTTTTAAACAGATTTTGTAATATTTTCTGAAATCGTATTTAAGATTCAGTAGTCTGAAATGCAAATATCTTATTCGATTCAGGAGAGCACAAGCTGCATTTCATCCCCGCCCTGATCGGCCCCTTCCTAGAAGTGACCCTGATCCCCCAGCCAGACCTCCGGAATGTCATGATTCCTATTTTTCACGACATGATGGACTGGGAGCAGAGGCGGAGCGGCAATTTTAAACAGGTAGGCGGGCGCACACCTCAAAACCGCTGGCAGAGACCCCGTTCTCATCAAGCATCTCTCAGCTACCAGATTTGACTCTGAGCTGGGAGGCGAGCAGCGAACCAGCCATCCAGGGCCCCTGATTCCAGCCATCGGCCTCGGACGTCTCTCTGGTCCTGTGCTGCCCCGAGCCTCTGCGAAGTCCTGAAAAACCATTTCATTCCCTCGCAGCTAACAAAGGCTGTGATTTCCCAGGTCTGTGCTTAAGAACTGGCAGAGACTTTATTTGCTCCCAGCTGGACAGAACACGGGAGAATCAGAAGGTTAATGATTCTTAAAAATCACTGAACTCTCGGTGGTCTGCACATTGTACTGGGTGAATGGCTTAGTTCTGAGCAGTCGATGCACATTGGGTTTTATTGTTTTTTGCTCAAAGCATTGAGAATTAATTTAGAGGGGAAAGCGGTAGACATTCTTGCAAAGGAGATTGTGAGGAGTCGAATCTGTCATTTCTCGCTGACAAGGTTCTAATAGCTCTGCCCCAGTTTTGAAAAGAGAGAGGTTCTTATTACAAAACCAGATCTCAGAAGACATCGGCTGCTCTCGCTGTGGCGTCACTCAGGTGGCCGACACGAGGCCTGCGTTCTGTTCACACGCCACTGCACTGACCTTTCCGCACTTACCTGGGTGAAGGACCTGGCCTTCCTTCACGCTCCTCTAAATGAAGCCTTTATCAGGTCTTAGGAGAGCTCGCCTACCGTACGAGCAAGCCTAGTGCTTGCGTCCGACCGTCCTGTTATCAAAAGCACGATGTCACCTGTATCGATAGCTACGTTGATTTTCAAGAAAGCTAATAGGTGCATGAAAGGCTATTTAAAAAGTGTGCGGGGGCAGGACCCACTGTCCCTCCGTTTGGTCTTTATCCTCTTATCGAAATTCTATTGAAAGGAGGAACTAATTGGGCGTAGTGCTTTGGCACATTCGGATGTCACCCCAGTTCCCAGATGTTTAACTCTGGCTGTGCAGAGGTTTTCATTTTCTGTCTCTTCTGCTGCCTCGATATACATTTCTGCCTTCCTGATATTCACATCCTAAAAGATTCACATCCTGGAAAATATAAATGTTTTCGACTACAGTTTTCAGGAAATATGTCCTTTCTCTCTCCTGCTGCTTATTGCTGACTTAGAATATTTCTGTGGCTCTACCATCTGTACATGGATAGGGCAAGTCCCAACTTTTGCAGAGATTTAGTGCAACCTCGAACTGTTTTGAGAAAGAAAATAGATATAAAATACATCAGAGATTTAAATTAATGTTTGTGGATATGTTAGTTTGCTGATATTCCTGTGTGTGTGCATGTATATATATGTAAATATATATATAGCGATTTTTTAAAAAAGGAAAGAAATCGGACTCGCCAGATTTTATACCACCTAAAAAAAGAATTCAAATGTCTAAGCTGGGCTGCAAGCATTTGTGTTTGAATCAACAAATAGATGTCTTTGGCAGCAGCCAGTGCTACGCTGCAGTGAATTCGAAGTCGGGATGCTCGGCCTAAATTAGCCCCCTAGAATTCCGAGGGGTGCCTACTACCAGCCACAGCTGACAGTGTCACCTTCACGCCATCGTGGCCTTCTCTCTCGCAGATATAAATATATTTCAGTTTGCCTAGAAATGCTTTTATGTGAGGGAAAGGAAAGAGAGAGTGACGTTTGGGTATGTTTCAGGTGGAAGCCAAACTAATTGACAAATTGGACAGCCTGATGTCGGAAGGCAAAGGTGATGAAACGTACCGCGAGCTCTTCAACAGTATGTGAGTAACGTGTTTATCTCGAGTCGGTCCCATCCGGGGGGTTCGGTGTCAGTGCTAAGGAGCTTGAGAGCTGCAGAGGCAGCGTCGGCCCTGCCGGAGCGCTTTGCCTTTGCGGAGTGTGAAATAAAAGATAATGGCCTCACTCCGGTGAACCGATCTCATTATACCGATGATTAGATGTGTCTTCTTATTTTAATCTCTGATTAGGACAGGTCACGTGCTGCATCATGAATCTCATCCTTTGCATGCCTAATCACTTTAGAACCGGGGCTGCAAGATAACGATTTTTAGAGAGGGTCACGCGTGGAAAAGGGAGACGGGCAGTGTGGTTGTGGAGTCCAGGGCGCAGGGCTTTCCAGAGCGAGGTCTCTGGGCCGAGCTGCTGCTGGGGAAATGAGCCCCGTTTGCCCTGTTCTCCGGCACTTGATCCCATTCGGCGATACTGATCGCTCGCTCGGCATCGTGAACTGTGTCCTAAACGTTTCTCGTTAGAATATCACAGAAGCAAGCCATTTCCAGTAAATTCTGTGACTGGGATTTGTATGGAGGATGGAGAAGGAATAGAGTGTTGTAAAGGGACTTGCAGGTTGTCCTCATCAGTGGAATGGGATCGCAGTCCCAGGATGCATTGCTTGTACTGGCTGGTTATTCACCCTCTGTGCGAAATGGCCAGAGAGGATGCCTAAGCAAGTTTTGGTACTTTAGGATTTTAATTCTAAGCCTTGTTTTCTCTACAGCTTTCTGTGGATTTTAGCCATTTTCAAAGGTAGTATGCGTATAAAGAGTTTCTTTTTGAAAGAAGTAGCTCATTGCACCTGGAAAATATTTGCATTTCTTTCAGAAGTGCAAAACAATCTGGGAATACGCTTTCCTATTACAGAATATGCTTTCGTTTGTATTTATGCCCAGGTATCACCTAAAACTAAACATTAATGCTTTAGAACTATTAGCCAAATGCAAAATTCTGTAATTCATTTTACGATCATAAATTCAGAGCAGTGGATATATGAATATATGTGGGTTTGGAAAGTATTATTAGTGACTGATAGATTTCAACTTGCCTGATTCAGAATCATTCTTCAAGCTTTTAAGAAAATTATATTGAAAAGAGAAGCCAAGAAAGCATATGCAGATTTCCGGTGGTGGCGGTGGTGGTATCTGATAAAATACACTCTTTGTGCTGAATCCTGAATACCACCACTTCCCTCTGAGACTGTAATTAAACTGGAACTTGAGATAATTATTCGCCAAGCCCTCGTTCCTTGTTACAGACAAAGCGTCTGTCTTTTATGACAGCAGGATTTTAGTGAGAATTGTGATTACAACCTCATCCAATATAATAAATCGCTTCTGAAAACTGCTCTCACTTCAGTTGCTAGTCCCTGGTTTGAACAAAGAACTCAAAGGAGAAAGCGCTCAGTGTAATGAATCTCTTGAGATCTGCGATTAATTTTTATAATAAATTCACAAGATTAATAAATGCTCATATAGTTCTATAGTGCCTCTCCTCTGCTTTTATAGAGGCCTGATGGCGTGCAATTTGGATTGCTTGTGTATAAATATGACTCTGAAATAGCAGATGTACCTTGGCATTAAAATCAAACTACTAATTAAAATATTAAGAGTCTGTAATTAGGACTATTTTAAGGTGCCTGATTCATTCAGTAGAGATTTTTATTCTTTTGTTGATTTTTAGCATATTACTGGAAATGTTCCCATAAATATTGTACTTTCATGCTTTTATGATCAGCATATTGGGAATAAATAAAATCGAAAGTGATAATTACATATCATTACTACCTGGGCTCAGAAAAGCGAGTGAAAATCTAACTGTGTTTCAGGAAATAATTGCATGTTGCTTCTTTGGCCATAGACATCCCGATGAGTTAGTATAGTCACAGCGAGCCACCACACACGTTATAAATGGGGAACGCACGTCGCTGTGGTCCAGATTCTCATTTGTTCTCTGTAATTCATGTCTAAAGCTTCTTAGAATTTGTTCAGAGCCGGGAGCAGCTTACTGCTTTTTGAAAATGCAATACTTACCAGAAGAGCCATAGGACGAGACTGTAAATTAGCATGCTGCCTTCATTCCCAAGAACTCAGGTCATTTTTCTCTAATCCTAACATCATCTCTGTGTACCCATACTACATCTTTTTGAAATAAGCAAGAGTCTGGATTTATTATTTTTGATAATGCTGAAATTGTGGCTCATAGATGCCAATGGCATGCATCAAAATCGAGTCTCAGGACTAAACTCACTTCCCCTGGCTCTGCTCGATTTGCTCATTCGGCTTTATTTATCGAGCACCCCCTTGCGCTAGGCGGCCGCCCAGGGCTGGGGAGGCAGCAGCGACCGTGCCGTGGGAGCACACGGCAGGGGTACCTCCAGCCTTAGGGGGCCAAAGGGGCTTTCCAGGAGAGGAAACACCCACCTCAACTTCTCCCATAGTCCTTGACTGTGCTTTATCGTGTGTTGCTCTAAGAAATTCAGGGAGTTTCCAAGTCATTTCCAAGATTTCTGTGTGGGGACCACTCATTTTACTTTGGGGACAGAGGGTTAGCTCTATAACACACGCTTTAAGTATCTGGATTTTTTGGATTAAGAGGAGCAGACACAGACATGGGCGTTTTGGACAAAGAGTGATGGCCTTGAACTCAGCCCCGTCACCATACAGAGAGACGTAGGTTCAGGGGCAAATCCTGCACGCCTCCCAATATTCTTCCGCAGAGTAGAAGCCTGATGAGCAGTAGGTCACCCCGTAGGACTGTGGTTTACCCCGCCGCCCAGTGTCGTGGAGCCCATTGCCTGTGTATTAGCAGGAAGGAGTCACTTCGCACTGTTATCAGATGCTTCCTGTGCACTCAGCCCAGGCGTGTGGGCGTGATGACAGACCAGTCACCCAGATTTTCTAGAGCGTCTTCTCTTGCCAACAGCCACTCCTTCTCCATTTGCGTCGGGTAGACTGGAAGGCCAGGCTTCTCGACCCCAAAAGCAAGCCTGAGAGTGGAAGCACACAAGGCGGGTTTCAGACCTGGCCCGACACCGGGGCATTGGGTTAGGCGAGGGAACGGGCTCTGCAAAGCTTTGCCTCTGCTCACGAGAGGATGCTGCCACCCGCTTTCACACTGCGTCAGGAGGCTGTGAAAACCCATGAAACTCATGCCCATAAGAGAAGTTTCCAGATATTTTTAGAATGATTACTTAACTTGAGTTCTTTGTTTTTCAGCCTCTAAAGTAGATGCGGTGTGGGCTGTCACTCGGGGGAAATGTCTGCATCAGCCGGCATTGCCTTGGCACACAGATTGTCATTTGAGCACTTGGTTCAATACCAATTTGGCATTGAGGCTTGAAACAGGTGCTGTTCAGAGATTTTTTTTAAAAAAAGGAAAACACATTTTAAACAAACCAGAGGACCTTTCCCTGGGGGATTAGTCAGGGCAAGCTGCATCCTTCCATATGCTACGCTCCCTTCTTAGTCTAGATGACGGTTCAGAATCAACCAGAAAAACAAGTGACCGGAAATGCACAGGCATCAGATGAGACAAGACAGACGGCTGGACACGAGAATGACAATAGCCAGAAGAAGTGAGAATTGGGGAGGAAAGTTGGGAGAGAACGTAGCCACGGGCCCCCCAAAACGCTTCGCCAGAATAGCTTTTTTCTCTAAAGTCTCTTTTCCGAAGCACAATATGTGATAGGCTGAGATCGTGCCTGTTTTCTGTGTTATCTCTGAAACCGAGATGAAAGACAAACGGGGTTTTAGACGGCAGCGAGCGATCACGAAGTCCGGAGGGGTAGGGCAGAACCCTGAGCTGTCATGCTTATGTTCTAACTTTTGCCATCGGGGGAAAGTTCAGTCATAGAGGCTTTGCCAAGCGTGTGGTGAATTTGCCGAGAAGCGGAAATGAAAATAAAGCAGATCCTAATTGCTGTGGTTGTTATTATTTTGTGTTTACATAGCGCCTGGGCTCCAAGGTGCGTAAGATGAGGGGGAAATGCAGGAGGGAGCTGTGGCTGAGTTCTTGTCAGCAATCCGCTGTAACCACCACAGAGAAAATCCTCTGTGATTAACGGCAGAGTGAATGAAACTGTTGCGTGAGTGCACAGATAGTACAATATGTATCGAGTGGGCAAATGTTAAACGCGCAGCGCAACGTCATCCCGTCTGTACAAGGGTTTTTCTGGAGCAGTTGCGTTGCAGGAAAATTGCTTGGATGAAGATGCATTCCGCTGAGAGGTAGGAAAGCATTTCTATGTGACTACAGCAAGATCTGACTTAAAAGTGAACTTACAGGTACTCTGTTCTCGCTGTTCGCAGGGTCATTTGATGTGGCGAGGCACAAGCCCTTTAGCGTTAAGAGAAGCTAGGGGAAAAATGTCTTTGAGCTGTGAGGAGCTTGTCTATTTTGAAAATATGATTATGTGCATGTGTTCGTATTTTATGACTTGGATAATCTGAAAATCAATTTGCTTTGTCAATGCTTCCGGGATTAGAATTCCGCTATTTGGTCCCTATCCTAGGTAAGACATTGTTTGCAAATCGTGCTACTTATAAGATGTTGCAGTGGTTGCTAAGGCATTTAAGGTACTGATGAAAGTAAAATGGTTGTCATGGTGACTGATAAAAATAAATGTTGAAAATGCCCTGGGTTCTTTCTTTTCCAGTCTCCTGAAGAAAATTGAGCGGGAAACATGGAGGGAGAGTGGCGTCTCATTAATCGCCACTGTGACCCGCCTGATGGAGAGGCTGCTGGATTACAGGTAAGCCGAGGCTCGTGGTTCCCAGACGTGCCGCGTCCCAGGGGGAGACGAGGGTCAGGGCACAGGCAGCCGTGCCCTTGAGTTCAGCACGTGAATTGATGAGCAGACCGGAACCGTAGGCGGTGAGAGAATGGACTTTTCCCCTAGCTGGTTCGGAGCGTTTGGTTTGTCTGCCCCCGTCTTTCTGTTTTGTTTTGGTTGACAGTTCTTTCAAAGTCTTAGGGAATGGAGAGGGTTCTAAGGGTCCTATTAGTAAAGGGGCTCTTTGTTGTTGGTATGTAGATTCGCCCGTTAGGACCAGTAAGTAGACCCGTCAGTTTCGGGGCAGAGACGGTGTCATGCGGAGCTAACCGTACGACGTGCTGCTTTCACAGTCATCATTCTTTCAAAAAAATTATCTAAACCGTTAGAGCAGTGTGTTCCACTTAAATGCGTGGTGTTTTTGTTGAATTTGAAGAATAAAGCCCTCATTCCCGTGGTGGATGGCCAGGCCTGCCAGCTCACGCCTCACGCCCCCCACCGCACACGCACCTCACCGGAGACCTCGCCGCCTCGGGCAGTTTCTCCAGCCTGCTGAGCCTTTATCTGAACAGCAGGTCGCCTCTGGTGGCTGACAGTACTTTTTCCCCCCCAAAATGAACAATCTGTACCTGCCCCTGGGGAGGAAGCCCGAGCTCTGACTCCCGCCGTTTGTTTTCAGGGACTGCATGAAAATGGGGGAGGTGGACGGCAAGAAGATCGGCTGCACAGTTAGCCTTCTGGTGAGTGAAACGCTCCCCTCCTCCTCCTTGCACACTAACATTTGTTTCTTACAGACATACTGTGTTTTGTCTGGCGTTGATCCACAGTGCGTTTTTATCTGGATGTGTCTTAGAAGAGTTTAGAAGTGTTTCTGAAAGAAGCAGAGCGAGCTGTAGGTTGAATTAGAGCCCAAAAAAATCATCGGCGCCGGGCGCTGCGGGCTGCCTTCCCCGCAGCGCTCTGCCGGCCGAGCTCGGTGACACCGGAAGCGAGGTCCTCGTCCTTCTGCCCCACGCTTTGTCGTCCTGGAGTCTTCTGTCGCTGGCCACGGAAGAAGCACCATGTCCAGAGCAGAGGCCTGTTTCCTTCTCTGCAGACGTTTCCCTTCCATCCCCCTGGATCCGTTCTGCGTTTTAACACGTCAGTCATCTCCCTTTGCGAATAAACGGCAGTTTCCTGTTAAACGCACTCACATGCGCGCTCTAGCTGCTTTGCAAATTAAATTGATAATGCCACTGTTATGAAGGTTTGGATCATAAGCAGGATGACCATGTAATTTATCACCCAAACAGGACATTTTTGAAAGGAAAATATGATGGGAGGCTGACAGGCTGAACCAGACCTGTCCTTGGAAAACTACATTTATATGAAAATGTCTCCTAACTAACAAGTAGAGTGACATTCTCACCACAGGGCAAAAGAATGATCGTACAATTTAGACATTGATTTTTCAGGTTTTACTCTAGAGTAAAGTGGTGCTTTTGCTAAGTTTCCTTAATCAGGTGTGAGATGGAGGAACACGTGACTCTAACTTTGCGAGTGTCACGGCCCCTTGGTCTTACTCTGCAGAAGGAATGGAAGCTCACCGTCTGTCACTTCCGCAGATAGTGCCACGCGGTCCTTTACTCTCCTTGCTTTGTTGTGTTTTCCCGCATCTTGAAAACGTGCCCTGTGCCCGCTCTGGTTCTGTCCTGTCCTGGGTCGCTGGCTTCAGGCTTGTTTTCTGTTCTGTTTATTCCCCTCACGGCCCGTCCTTGGCGCTCAGAACTTCCACTTTGTCATGACTGTCCTTTTACCGTTTCCCTCATTTATTTTCTTGCCGCGCCGTCCTTCATCGCGGGGTATGTGACTCACCCTCTTTCCCACGCCCACCGTGTCCTCACTTCGAGTTTGTTACATCTCCACCTCCAACATCAGTCGCTAAAGGTAGTGGGACCCGACGTCCTCCGTCACGCCACACCTCGTTATGCACTTTCTTCCCCGTTTTCGGTCACCGGTTACCGCCGGCGGTCCCCTCCAGGCCATTAGGCCGGACCCACTGGCTCAGCCCGTTGACCTCTCCCCTTAGCTCTCATTTCCAACCTTGAACGTGGTCATCCTCACTTTCAAATCTCCCGTCTGTATTTCCCCAGCTTTTTGCCAGCCTTTCACCACGGTCAGTATCCTGACCTTGAGCTTCCTCTCCATCCCTCTGCTTACACGTCAGTGTTTGGGGAGAAAAGCCAAGTTCTCTGTAAGCTTTAGGTCTTCTCAGTTTGTGTCCTTACTCCCGCTGTCCCCTCACTCTGGGCACAAAGTCTGATAAATAACCTCAAAGGAAAGCTTTTACCTTTTTTCCAAAAGAGTCTTTTCCTGTCGTCCTGAACTTTCACAGTGTCTACCGTTTGAAGGAGAACGGATAAATGCAGACCCTCAGTTCGTTTCCTCGGTATAATAAGCGAGCATTTCCTCGGACGAAGGACTCACTACTCGCCCTCAGTGTGCTTACTTGTCTCCCAGCGGGAACAGACCCGAGACTTAATAAAGTCAGTGGCCCCATCGGCATTTCCTCGACACAGAGAAGCTATCTGGCTAGCTTTGCACTTACCGTTTTGAAAGCCGTTCTAATTCTAAAGCTGTTCAACTAGCACGAGAATACTTACTATTAAAGGACCAAATATATAATGTTGAAGCCACTCTTTCGTGCTTCTAGTCCATACGGGAAGTTCTTGATGCTTTCCAACAGCATTATGATTCTCTTCCATTGCTTCCTTCCTCCTAGAGATTCTTCTTAATTCTGGAGAGATCAACTCCAGATTGTCTCCAGGAGCTTTCTGGCTTTCTTTACGAGATCGGAGTTAAACTGTAGTGTTAAATTGGTAAAAATGCATCATCTTTGACATGACTAATGCTAGGAGATGGCATTATTCTTTGTGTCTCAAGTTTTGCCAGACATATGTGAAATATTCTCATCCGCTCATGGGAGAGATTTTTTCTTTTTAAAGCACTATTCATTTACTGAGCGATCACTTATTTTGTTCTCAGAGAAAGCTGCTTCTTACCAGAAAGCTATGTGAGCAAATCATCCTTTAATAATGTAAAAACCTGCTAAGGGGCCGTTAGACTTGTGTTTACGGTCCAACAATTCTCGCTAATTAAAATGATTTGGTAATAATGAGAGCTGAGAGTAGCATTATTTACTTAGCCTTTTAAAAGAATGCCAAGTTCTGCGGGACGCAAGGGGAAAAGGGGGAAGGATAATGGTATAAACTAGATGTAACTCAATGTCAGCATTCCAAGGCTAGAAGCGCCCTTGCATTGAAGAATGGACACCTGTGAGGTGGGGTCCACAACGCACGTTGACAGAAGGTCCTCAGGCCTCAAGCTCAAGGATAATCGAATAGCCACAACGGCTGCTTGAGTCCCTTACTGAAGCCCTCGCTAGCGAATCAACTTCAAACCCCTCCAGAACTCCAGGCCTTTCCCGCTACGCAAGACCTGTCGCTCCGTCAGGTCGCAGACGTGTGCCCCCATCGCTACCCACTTTCCTTCTGACGCCGAGGAGCATTAGTCAGCACGACGGCGTCGACACTGATCGTAGTCAGACGCCTAAGGCAGGGACCTCATAACGTGCAGCGAGCTGCCCCCCGCGAGCCTCGCGGGGGGTCTTGGCGCCACGCTTTTTCTGCAGTCCACCTCCGTGGACGTTGGCCGCTGCGTTTACTGCGTTCCGTGAGGACTAATGTACTTTCTAACGTGGTGCAGAAAGAGATGTGGATGCTCATACTCTACCTTTAAATGCCTGCAGAATGTGTTCCGGTGAGTCCAGTTGAGCTTTTGATAACTAATATTAAAATTTAGTGAGGTTTAGTAAGGTCGAGATACATTTTTATAAGTAAATAAAGTATTTTCAGGAAGCATGCCTCTATGAGAATAATGTGAAACAGAATCTCTTGTTATTAATCCCTTTATTTTTTGGCAATAAATTAGAAACATTTAAACTCTAGCACAAGTAAGAAACTCGAAATAACACCCTAACATTAAAGAGCTTTTTCATTTACCCTCTTTCCCATGATTCTTCAGGGGGAAAAAAATGCTTTTACATTGTTTTTACTCATCCTTATATATGTATCTTAGAAACTTTTCTTTAGAGCAAAAATGTGTCTGAAACTCAAAGAAACTATCCTTCGAATATTACTGATTAAGTTTAATAAACTGGTTAATCTATTACATCTTTTACTGTTTTTTAGTTGAATAGGCTGATTGTCCACTGGCAATTAAACCATCAAAAAATAGTAGAAAGTCACAAAAGAGATGTGAATCAGTGGTCATAACACCCTGCAAAAGTTTCCGGCGTATCCAGTGATTTCTAGGTCACGTTTAACACAGAGTTGAATTGGAAAGACATCACCGGGCCTCCTTGATATTTGTAACGACATAGATATGAAAAAAATGCATCACTTAATTCTCTTGGTTCAAACCATGAATTTCAGCAGAACATTTGCAGACCCGACTGTTGAGGAACAATCCACACTTGTACTTTTTTTTTTCCGGCGTATCCAGTGATTTCTAGGTCACGTTTAACACAGAGTTGAATTGGAAAGACATCACCGGGCCTCCTTGATATTTGTAACGACATAGATATGAAAAAAATGCATCACTTAATTCTCTTGGTTCAAACCATGAATTTCAGCAGAACATTTGCAGACCCGACTGTTGAGGAACAATCCACACTTGTACTTTTTTTTTTTTTTTTACAGAACTTCTATAAGACCGAACTGAACAAGGAAGAGATGTACATACGCTACATTCACAAACTCTACGATCTGCATCTCAAGGCACAGAACTTCACAGGTAACTGTCGCCTGGCGCAGGTCGGGCAGTGGGCTGGACACGGTAGTAAACATGATACGTCCTCTGCTTTTTATAACCGGGGCTGCGGAGTCAAGCGCTTCCGTTTCAAAATTAGATGCGTTTTTTATGCCGTCTGTCGGTCTTTTTCGTTCTCTGTTTCTCAACCTCCGTGTCAGATAAAAAACCGACTATTAAAAATATTTTTTAATTGCATTTACTTATATTTCTGTGTATTCCATTTTCATTTATATCCTGGCTTTTTTATTCTGTCTCTTTACATAGTTCTTTTAGAGGTTGCTTTTGGGGTTACAACACACATACCTGACTTTCCACAGTCTAATTAGAGGTGGGGCTTTACTGTCTTGGAGATCCCTTTACCCTCTCCATGGTATGCCGTGTTTGTCACAGGTGCTGTATCTACATACCTTGACAACCCCATCAGGTAACGTCATAATTTTCGCTTTCGACGGTCACACCCGTTTTAAAGAGCGTGAGGTGATAGGGACCGTCCATTACATTTCCTCACATATTTGCCACTCCTATTATTCTTTCTTCGTTTGCGAAGTTCCTGGTTTCCCTCTGGTACCCTTTCGTCCAACCCAAAGAACTTCTTTTAGTATTTCTTTTAAAGCAGATCTAGCGGTGAAGAATTCTCTTAATGTGTTTTTTTGTTTGTTTGTTTATTTGAGTTTTGTTTTGTTTTGATTTGAGACTACCTTTAGCAGGGTATGTTTGCTGGGTCTAGAATTCTAGGTAGAGGATTCTTTCGTTTCTCTACGTTGAACACGTTCTCTTGTCTTCTGGCCTCCGTGGTTTCCGCTGAGAGACCTGGCGTCATTGAAATCGATCCCCTGTACGGAATATGTAATCTTCTCTGGTAGTTTCAAGATTTTATGTTTGATTTTTCAGCAGTTCGATTATGGTATTTATGGGCATGGTTTTCTCTAAGTTTATCCTATTTGGGTCTGCTGAGCTTCTTGAATCCAGAAACATTATTTCCTTCACCAAATTTGGGAAGTTTGGGGAGATTATTTCCTCAAATATACTTTCCGTACCAATCTCTCTCCTCTCTTTTGGGACTGCAGTGACGTGAATGTTAGGCCTTTTCGTGTGGTTCCACGAGTTCCTGGGGCTCTGTCCATTTTTTCCCCGCTACTTCTTTCCGTCGTTCCGCTGAGATGATTTCTGCCGGTCCATTCACTCTCTGCCGTCATTGCCATTCAGCCGTCGAGCTCTTTCTGTGTAATTTTAATTTTTGTTATTATCGTATTACTTAGTTCTAAAATTTTCAATTGGCAATTGTTATTTTACTTATTTATTTTTTATAGCTTCAAGTTCTTTGCAGGGAACTTCACGCTTTCTGTTCAAGCGTTCGCTTCTGCTTCAAGGAGCCTGGTTACAATAGCTACTTGAAATCATTTGTCAGTAATTCCAACAACTGAATCATCTTGGGGTTGGCATCTGTTAATCGCCTTTTCCTTTGAGGTTTGTTTTGTTTTCCTGCTTCTTTGAATATCAAGTAATTTTGAATTGTATCCTGGACAATTTTATCTTATGAGACTGTGGATTCCGTTAAAATCTCCTGGAGAATGGACTTTTTTTTTTTTTTTTTAAGCAGACAATCAATCCAGTTAGTTTTAAACCTCACGTTCTTAACCACCTTCTGAAGACTGCGGTCCTGATGTCGGTTTACTTTTCAAAGGCTTTGCAGTCCTGTTCTGGGCCCTCCTGCATGTGTGTCACCAGAGGGAGTCTGGGACCGAGACACAGCTCTCCATCACAGTTCATTTCTCAGAATCTTTTTTTGTAGACTGTGGTCTTTTCTGAACGTGTGCCTCTGGGGAGTGAGCCCCGGATGTCACCCTCAGGACTTTAAAAGCCCTTTCTCCACCTCCCTTCTGTCTGTGATCTTTCTCATTCTTCAAGTCTCTCCGGGGCTGCTGCTTCTAGTAGTCTGGCTTGAACAAAGCCCAAATACTCAAAGCCAAGGCTTGATGTACTCCCTACGGTTGGCCTCCTGGGGACCAAGCAGCAAAAGTCAAAAGCCTGGGGAAGCTGCCGATGCTACCGTGGTCACCCCCAAGTTACCACCGCAGGTGTGTAGTATTGTTCCCAGGACTCAGCATGGACCAGAGAAGTCAAACGCGCCCCGTCCCACAGAAGGGCCTCTCTGTCCTCTGGCTGGAGGGACTTGCCTTGGAGTTGTTTCCTGCTATTCCCATGCGCAGTAGCGGGACACAGGGCAGTCTACACCAGGAGGTAGGAGAGGCAAAAGTAAAACCAGGCGATCACCACTCTATTGCCCTTATTTGTGTATTGTTTTTCCTGCTCTCGTTGGCTTTTCGGAGTCTTCCAGCGGTTGCTTTCTGTAGTCGGCCTCGAGTTTTTCATCGCCCTCACTGGGAAGGATGGGACGGAACGTCCTCACTGCGTCTTAACACAACCTGAACCCTTTAACCGGCGTTAGGAACCACCAATCTTGGTCATTCTCCACACCTGTCTTCCACGGGGCTCCGGAACTGTGGCCGCTCCCTTGGCTTTGAGCAAAGGGGTCCTTTCTGAAACGGCACTCGTGTGCTCAGAATTGAAGGGTGCCTCTAGCTCGAGTTCCGCTCTCCCCATTAACAGCATCGCTGTTGGCTCAGTCTGGAGACCTTGCCACTGTCCCTGACATAGGCCTCCTCTTAACCTCCGTCAAGGAATCATTCGTGAAGTCTTCCCGATTTTGCTTCCTAAGCGTCTCTCAGAATGATTCCCTTTCATTGTTTCTACTTTCTCTGCCTGAGTTGGGCTTTTACCATCTTTCTCATCTCCCACCTGAACAGCCATCGGCAAACGTCGACCTGCAGACCAGCCACCTGATTTTGTAAAGAACGTTTTCTTAGGACACAGCCAGACCTCTTATTTACATAGTGTCCGTGGCTGCTTTTGTGCAGTGGGAGAACCGAGTAGCTACAGCAAAGGCCATGTGGCCCACAAGCCTGAAACATGCCCCGTCTGGCCTTTGACGACAGTTTTGCCAGCTCCATCTCTAGACGGAGCTCTGTCATCCATGCTCGTCTTCTACGAAAGGAAGCTCGACCTCTTCATTCGAGGTCCATCGTAACTGAACGATGCTGTGTGCTCGGCCTCATCTTGACCACTTGTGTGCGCTTCCTTTTCGTCCTTCGGGACCAGCTCCTGCATCGTCTTTTCCACGAATTCTTCACCTTCCTGCGATTCTCTTCCTTCTCTTCCCCTCACCAACCCCATGCCCCGCCACCCACCTTTCCTGAGCCGAGTGGATGTTTCCAGTTCTTTTCCCTTGCAATTTTTCAGATGTCCATTAAACTAATGTTTTATTTCATTGTTTTTGTTACTAGTTATATAAGATGTGTGTGTGTGTGTGTGTGTGTGTGTGCGCGCGCGCGTGGGCAGATAGACAGACAGACAGACAGACAGACAGAGATATCTCCCACTAAAGGGTGAGTTCCTTGAGGACAGAGATGATGTTTTCTTCTTAGTTTCTCGGTTCTTAGAATAGTGCCTACAACATGAGATTTAAATAAATGCATCACTAATGAATGCACTCAATTAAATTTTAACACCTGGAAAGCAGACTTTTCTCCTTCAATACTGGTAATTCCCTCATCTCTAAGGAGGTCCCAATATCTTTTTACACTGATGTGCTGATAGTTTTGGTTAAATATTAGACTAAGAGTTTTGAGCTGATTACGTTATCTGAGAGTTTAAATGGTCATTTTTTAGGCAGTTAGTAGCCAAATTTTAAGAAAAATGGTGAACCTACTTTTTATACGTCTGGAAAAAAAAACTGGGAGGCTGGTTTTATTTAAAGTCCATTCCAAAAAAAAAAAAAAAAAAACTGAGAAGGAACCGATGACAGGCTCTTACAGATAGGTAAGTTATATTCTGGTTCTCTGAGACGAAGTCCAAACCTGATTCTATGCTGGGAAGGGGTAAACCTTTTTCTTTAATTTGTTTGCAGTTTTTATGTTCCCCAAAGGCATAAGGAAGAGCTCCTTTTCCATGTAACATTCGATTCCTCCGTCTTCTTCCTCATTTTCGTGTGTCCTTGGAGAGCGTGAACTCGGTGGAGGGTGTTTCTGTCTGCACAGGGCTCTGTGGAAGCGGCTCAACCCTTCGCAGCCGTTTGCAGTGGGCTCTCTATTCCCCGTTCACCTTCGCGCTGCTCCTGTGTCATCCTTTCCTCGTGCTGGTCCCTCACCGTGTCCCTCTCACGGCGATGGAACCAGAGGCTCGTACAAGGTTATGTGGTAATGCCTTTCAATTATAAACACTTTGGAAAAGACGATCTGTTGGAAATTTTGCCTGTGATTCATTCTTCCCTCTTCAATACATAATATTGTCTTCTAAAGATACAGAGGAATAAATATAGAACATATTACAATAAAACACCTACGGTTTGCTAATGTGTTCAGAATCCTTCTCAGGAGTCTGCTGTGTTGTTCATGCCTCAGAGGTGAATGTTTTATTTAACGAACATTTTCTGTGGCTTCTTTTACACACACTGTTTACCCCAGATATTCATCATCATTTTCTTGAATCAAATTCTGAAACAGGTGTAACTTGTCGGCACGCCTCCCCAGGTCCCCATGCGGTCGTTGGTCAGCTTCCTCCGATGGCCAGCTTGTTCTCCCACACTGGTCCGGGGGAGCAGCTCGCCCACACCTCTGATCATCCCCCGGACCATCCCAGGGCAGTGGTGGCCTAGAAAGCAGTTTGGGGACTAGAAACCCTTCATTGCCATTTTTTTTTTTTTAACTTTTTTATTGTGGCAAAATGTAATCATATCAAATTTACCGTCTTGACCCTTGTGAAGTGCGTAGGTCGGTGGCGTTACGCACATTCCCATTTTCCTGCAAACACCGTCCATCTGCAGAACGTTTTCATAATCCCAAACCGAAACCCGTTCCTATTAAACAGTAACTTCCCATCCCGCCTCCCCTCCGAGTCCACTGTTCTTTCCGCCTCCATGAGCTTGACCTTCAGTGCCCTTTGAAAGCCATGTCCCGCCGGCAGCCGTGGGCTTCAGCCGTGGAAGAGTTCCCCTCTGTCCTCATGTTTGTCATGTAAAATGATCCGTCTCCAGGATATTTTCTGAGTGCTCAGGTGCTGGGGGCCACACAAAAGGAGTCCCAGAGAGTAAGGTGATCATTCTCGAGCTGGATCATTAAGAGAAAGGGGGAGTTATGTGGCAGCTGAGGGAGAAAGCCTTGAAGGAACAGGCTGTGAGCGGGGCTGTGAGTCCGCGGGGGGCTTGTGAGGGCAGCCGCCACCGCTGGCTCAGAATGTGGCTGGAGGAGCAGAGACGTTCATGAGGTTACCTTAGCTGTTCGGCGTTCATCAGAAGGACGTATGGGGAGTTAAAGGTCAGAAGAGCGAACCGGAAGGCTTTTCAGACATAGCACCGATCTTATGACCTGGTCATTATTACCTTTCTCGTCCTGTCAGAAGCAGTTTTTCATGGCAACCTACGTCGTGCCCATTCAGCTCTGTTTGTGCGTCCACCCGTTAAGTGACACCCTTTAGTGGACACTGTGTCCATCTCTGGATCAGGCCACGTGTGTCTCATTCATCAGAGCTGATGACGGGATCGAGGGCCCCGGCCTGGGGGCTTCTCGGAAGAGTCAGCGGTGGCTCCTTCTCGCCTGTGCTCTGTGAGACAGTGGTTAGGGGAGTGGTTGTGGGGACGGCATCGCGGCCAGCCTTCTCTGTCCCGTTAGGAAGCCTAAATTTATGCTCTTAGCTCCCGAGTCACTGGCTAGTTTTTAATCAGGGGAGCAAAAAGGTAGACTTCATCGAAGGAAGGTCATATTGGTTACAGTATGCCAGCTGAGCAGAGGGCGGTAAGAGACCGCTGATGCGTTATGAAAGGTCTTGGCACAATCGTAGAAACCAGGAGACTGAGCTCACAAGGCAATTGAAGAGAAAAAGGCCAGAGCCTGTCTCAGGACTGTGACACTCACGAGGCAAGAGAAAAGCGAAAGAGACCCAGCCCTTTCTTACTGTAGCTACTTATGGCCAAATCATAGCGTTCGAATTAACATGTTACTTTAGAGCTTTGTGTGTGGTTTACCCTTAAGGCAAATAAATGAAGAAAAAGAATCACCGTTTATTGATATTGTGTTAAAAGCTCCTACTATCTTTTGAGAGCCATATAGGGATGGTAGTTAAATGGATTAATAGCGTCAGGGTCTGTCCATTCTATTCAATCTAATAAATGAGTTGGTTATTACAGTGTCAGAAGGAGAAAATTATCACAGTCCTTCATCAACGACAAGGAATTCCGGTCCCCTTTCTTGTTCTATTTGGCCATATTTATGGCTCAGGGAAAGAAGAGACCCGTAGACTGTATTCTATTATATGTACTCTCTCTCTGTCAGTTATGCTTAAGCCCACAGGTCATGATTTTCACGTATATATACAGAAAATCATCCCTTTAAATGTTTCCCCAAGAAATTTCAGCCACACCAAACATGTAATGATTTCAGCAGCTATTGCTGAAGATTTGCGGGGCCAGCAAGGGAAGTCATGTCACACAGCCCACAACAGTTTGTCTGTCTGTCTCTGTCTGTCTGTCTCTCTCTCTCTCTCACACACACACACACACTCTCTCTCTCTCTCTCTTTCCCC